GATCATAAGGAAAAAGGCCAGGAAAATAAACTTGACCTTAACCTCTTTACAATCTTCCTCTGGAGTTTCCCCTAGTATGAACTCAGCTGGAAGTCAGAAGAAATGAGAATCTGTTGATGTAGTCCATACAGATTAGCTTCTCTGAGGGTAGAAAAGAGAGAGAGGTAGATTTGAAGGGATAAAGGGAAGATCTGTAACACATGCAAAAAATAATGGGAAAAAGATAACAATTGAAAAGTTTAAAACAAAACAAAAACTACCACCATTTGCAAGTAATATGATTGCATATTTTAAAAGTTTGAAATTTTAAGTTTCTTTATATAATACCCAAATTACAAAGTCTCTATGAATAAGCCTATCAAAAGCCTATGTAAAACCTTTATGCAGACAGTAATAGTATTGAGAAATACTTTTTTGAGAAAAATAAAAGACCAAAAGTAAATGTAGGGGTTAGAAAGAGTCAATGAGTTAGAGTGCTTGCTTTGTGGATAAGAGGCCCGTGTTCAATTTCTGATACCACATGGCTGAGCACTGCTTGCAGGGGAAGCCTTAAAAATTGAGCTGTGAAAGCTCAAGACCTTAGAATAGGATCAACAGAAAGAGCCCAAATCAGGCAGAAGGAAAGAGATCATAAAACTTAGAGCAGAAATCAATGACATTGAAACCGAAGAAACAATCAGAAAGATCAATGAAACCAAGAGCTGGTTCTTTGGGAAAATAAATAAGATAGATAAAGCACTAGCAACACTCACAAAGAAAAAGAGAGAGAGAACCCTAATAAACCAAATCAGAAATGAGAAGGGGGATATCACAACAGAAACCAAAGAAATCCAAAAGATCATCAGAGACTACTTGGAAAGTCTGTATGCCATGAAACAAGAGAACCTAGAAGAAATGGACAAATTCCTGGATTCCTATCATCTCCCAAAGCTGAATAAAGAAGATCTAGAGTACCTGAATAAACCTATTAACACCAAGGAAATTTAAACTGTAATCAAAAGTCTTCCCAAAAACAAAAGCCAAGGGCCAGATGGATTCACTAGCCAATTTTTCCAAACATTTAAAGAGGACATACTGCCAGTCCTTCTAAAGCTTTTCCAGGAAATTGAAAAAACAGGAACTCTCCCAAACAGTTTCTATGAAGCCCATACCTCTCTAATACCAAAAGGAAACAAACACACCACAAGAAAAGAAAACTACAGGCCTATATCCCTGATGAACACAGATGCGAAGATTCTCAACAAAATACTAGCAAATAGAATTCAACAACTCATCAAAAAGATCATACACCATGACCAAGTGGGATTCATCCCGGGGATGCAAAGATGGTTTAACATTTGGAAATCAATCAACATAATCCATCATATCAACAAAAGTAAAGAGATAAGTACCAGGAGGATTACTCCATGGCTTTGAGGACAGCCCCACACGCTAGGGGAAAAGGCAGCTCAGATAGAGAAAGGAGCACCAAATAAAGGGTGTTGGGAGGACCCTCTCAGGATGGGAAATGCGTGATGAGAGTAGACTACAGACCAAACAAGGTTGCCACTCAATGTCTCTTTTGCAAACCACAGCACTCAAAAGGAGAAAGATAACAAAAGGGAATGCCCTGCCACAGAAGTAGGGTGGGATAGGGGCATGGGAGAAGGGATGGATACTGGGACTGGTGGTGGTGGAAAATGGGCACTGGTGGAGGGAGGGGTATTTGATCATTGTATAACTGAAATCCAAGCACAAAAATTTATAAGTCTACAACTGTACCTCGTGGTGTTTCACTAATAAAAATTAAAAAAAATTGAGCTGTGAAGAACTGTTGAGTACCACTGGGTATGCCTCAAAAGCAAATAAATAAATAGAGAGGATAAGGATCGAAAATACTCATTGTTTCTTTTTTTTTCTTTTAAAATTTTGTTGAATCACCGTGAGAAAGTTACAAGCTTTCATGTTTGGGTTACAATCACACAATCATCAAACACCCATCCCTCCACCAGTGCACATTTCCCACCACCAATCTCCCCAGTATACCCTCCTTCCCTCCCCTCCCCCTGCCTCCATGGCAGACAATATTTCTCATACTCTCTACTTTTGGGCATTATGGTTTGCAATACAGACACTGAGAGGTCATCATGTTTGGTCCATTATCTACTTTCAGCACACATCTCACATCCCGACTGATTCCTCCAGCCAACATGTTCTTAGTGATCCCTTCTCTATTCCTTCTGCCTTCTCTTCTCCGCTGATGAGCAGGATTCCAGCTATGGGGCAATCCTCCTGGCCCTTGTATCTACTGTCCTTGTGTGTTGGCCTCATGTTATGTCATTCTATACTCCACAAATGAATACTCATTGTTTCAAGCTGTCACTTCTCCCCAAGTCTAAAAATTCAATCCAATCCAATCACAGTAAAAATATCACTATGTGTGCTTTTGTCAAACTTGACAAGTCATTTAAAATATGAATATGGAAATGCATAGTTCCAAGAACATCCAAAACAATTTTTTAGTGAATCAAAAATGGCTTTATTAAGATAAATTTACTTAGAGATGGAGCTGGAGCAATAGCACAGTGGTAGGGCATTTGCCTTGCACGCAGCTGACCTGGCCGAGCTGGGTTTGATTCCTCCGCCCCTCTTGGAGAGCTTGGCAAGCTACTGAGAATATCTCACCTGCATGGCAAAGACTGGCAAGATCCCCGTGACATATTCTATATGCCAAACACAGTAAGAAGTCTCACAATGGAGACATTCCTGGGTCCGCCAGAGCAAATTAATGAACAATGGGAGGACAGTGCTACATTGCTACTTAGAGATATGTGAGAGGAGAAAAAGAGTAATATATGTTGAAGGGCTGGAGTGATAGCACAGCAGTAGGGCATTTGCCTTGCACGCAGCCAGCCCAGCCGAGCCGGGTTCGATTCTTCCGTCCCTCTTGGAGACCCTGGCAAGCTACCGAGAGTATTCAATATACCAAACACAGTAACAAAATGTCTCACAATGGAGACGTTACTGGGCCTGCTCGAGCAAATCGATGAACAACAGGAGGACAGTGACAGTGACATATGTTGAAGAGGGAGCACAGGCTTCCTCGGAGGGAGAAAAAGCTCCAAGACATTTTCAAAGAAGAATAAGAATAATAATAAGTAGTTTGCTTTCTAATAAGTCTTAAATATTTAATAAAGGGTGTTAAATATTTAACAAAGGGTGTTAGACAGTTTGTGCTGTTTGAGCAAGAATGATAAATATACTATAAAAATAAAATAAAGAGCAGTGGAAGGAATGGTCATTTTAAGAAAAGGTATTTGATCAAATAAACTACTTGGAAGAAAGTAAAGTGTGACGCTTCCTCATACATTAATATAAATGTAAAAGATAAAAATCAAGTTAAATTAAAAAATGACAAAACTCCACAAATTAAATAATGTAGGGCACTATGCTCAGGTACTTGGACTATGGGGAGGCTTCAAAAATAGGATATCAACAATACATAAATAAAAATAACTTTAAATTTTAGAATTAAGAACTTTTATTCAGGGACTGGAGCTATAGCACAGTGGGTAGGGCATTTGCCTTGCATGCTTCCGACCTAGGTTCAATTCTCAGCATCCCATATGGTCCCCCAAGCACCGCCAGGAGTAATTCCTGAGTGCAGAGCTAGGAGTAACTCCTATGCATTGCTGGGTGTGACCCAAAAAGCAAAAAATAAAAAAGAAAGAACTTATACTCAGGTTATAGAGATAGTACAGCAGGGAGGGCGCTTTCCTTGCACAAAGACAACGTGGATTCAATTCCTGCATCCCACATGGTCCACTAAGCACGGCTAGAGCCAGTACTCACCCCTGAGAATACATTTAAGAGAAAGAATAAGAAGGCAGAGAAAGAGAGGAAGACACAGCAAACATAATTACCAAGAGCTCATTCAGCATATGGAAAATAGTTTTGAATGGTTAAAAACAAATGTTAAAATAGCGGGGAAAGTATATTCAAGTTGTCTATAAATAAAAGCAAAGATAATTCAGATTTAAATGGCAGTGATTTACTAACCATCCAGATGGCAATATTAAAAAGAATAATAATTCTAAGGGTTGGAAATAAGTGGTAAAGATGTAAAACCACTAGAAATCTAATTCAGACTGCTGGTTGGACTGTAAAGTTATATAATCAATTTGGAAAACTTTGAAAGAATCTACCAGTGCTAAGCCAGTATATTCTTAGGATCCAGCAGTCAGTCGCCTGGATATATACTCAAGAGAAATGTGAGCATGTATATCAAGACTTATGTGCACAAAGATTCATGGGATTTTTTTTGGTGATATCATCAAAATGGAAAGAATCTGAATGTCCACATCCATCACTGAATGAGTAAACCGCGGCATTTTAAGCAATGAATCTCATTCAGTAATGACAATACAGGACTCTGAGCCATCACAACAGTCACAACAATCTGACTCTTTCACGGACATTGTTTGAGCAAAGAACTCAGATACAAATGATTCCCTACTATATGCCCCCCTTATGCAATGTGGAAAAAGCTGGCAAATGTACACAACAGTGTTTCACAATTCACAGAAAGTGGTAAAATATAAAGAGAAGGGAGAAAGCCATTGTCACAAAGGTCTGAATAATAGTTCTTTTGAAGGGAACTATAACTCAAGGAAAAGGCAAGGAAGTAATTATTGGCATACTGGCAACGCTTTAGTTTTTCGGTTTTGTTTTGTTTTTGGGCCATGCCTGGGGGTACTCAGGGCTTGCTCCTGACTTAGAGGACCATATGGAGGGATTCAACTCTGGTCAGCTGCGTTCAAGGCAAATGCCCCACCTGCTGTACTATTGCTCTACCTGCGACTCCCATCCACATTTCCCATCTATCTCCACCTCTGTGTTATTTTTTAACTTGAATGACGGTTACAGGTTTGTTCACTTTATGATAATTCACTGAGTTGAACTTTTTGTGTGTGTACATTTGTTTTCCAACAAACAGAAAAAAACAATGGTCTCCTCCTATTTCATACCTGAGACAGCATAAAACTCAGGGGGTCCTCGGGCTTTTCATACACCAAGTTCTCAGTGATCTGCTGAGAGAAAGCAAAAAGCATCATATCTCGACTTTGACTTCAAATTATGGACTCAAGGTATCTTTGAGATGCCATTTTGCACCAAACTAATATGTCACTTGTCACTTGTCATTCCATTGATCATTAATTTGCTTGAGCAGGCGCCAGTAATGACTCCATTCGTCCCTGTTGTATGTTAGTGTAGCCCAATGACATATTGGGGGCTCTTTCAGGGTCGGGGAATGAGGCCTGTTATTGTTACTGTTTTTGGCATATCAAATACACCACGGGTGTCTTGCCAGGCTCTGCCATGCAGCTAATATGTACTGTAACATTTTAATTTTTTTTTCATTTTTCATTTCATCATCCTGTTATTTGTCGATTGCCTCGAGCAGGCCCCAGTAACGTCTCTTTCATCCTAGCCCTGAGATTATATTCAAGGCTCTTTAGGAGAATGAGACCCATCATTGTTACTGGTATTTGGCATATTTGGTACGCCACGGGGAGTTTGCCAGACTCTGCCCTGTGGGCAGGCTACATTCGATAGCCTGCAAGTTTGTCCAAAGTAGGAATGAGATAATAAGATCTCATAAAAAAGATGCCCTGATAAGATAAGGATGCTCCACAGGCACGGGGGCAGGAGACTGCACTGTTCTCTCTTGTCCGGGAGCTGCCCCCGTGCCTGGCTGTGCCCCTTGGAAGGGAGCGGGTTGAGCTTTCCTCCCCGCCCTGACCAGGGCTCCAGCAGCCGAAGACCTCGGATTGGAGTCGAGCATCCTCCACCCAGATCCTTCAAATTCCAGTAGGCGGGGCTCACACCCACCACCTGGCCCCCTGGCGCCGTGTAATCCCATCAACGGCCAAGACTCAGAGACTATAAAATCCAGCTCCCGGACGAGAACAGTGCAGTCTCCTGCCCCCGCGCCTGGCTGTTCCTTGCCGGGGCCCCTTGGAAGGTAGCGGGTTGAGCTTTCCTCCCCGCCCCGACCAGGGCTCCGGCAGCCGAAGACCTCCAGGACCAGCCACCACCATGCTGAGACCGCTCTCCGCACACTTGAAGGTACTGGCAGAGGGACAAATCCACGCGGGTTCCGGGGCCGAGATCTCCAAGCCTACTCGGATTGGAGTCGAGCATCCTCCACCCAGATCCTCCAAATTCCAGTAGGTGGGGGTTACACCCACCACCTGGCCCCCTGGCGCCATGTAATCCCATCAACGGCCAAGACTCAGAGACTATAAACATTTTAATTAAATTTATAATTAAATCAGCAAAGTGAGTGACCCATTGCTTTCTTAGCAGTTGTAAAATTAGGCAAACTAAGGTAAAATCTGGAAGAATTAAATTATGTTAATGAGTAGCAATGGATATATTTATATATATATTTTTAAATTTTGTTTTGTCTTACAAAACTGCTGTTGGCAGACTTCTTACATAAAACATCACAGCTCCACACCCGCCATCATCGTGTCTGCTTCTCTCCATATCATGGTCCCAGTGATCCACTACCTGCCCACTCCAGTCCCTTCCAAGCTCTCTATTCTAAACCAAGATTAAAAGGAATGTTTTGGAGGAAGTTTTTGTCTTGAGAAATTTCATTTTGCTAGACAAATTAATTGATTAATAAACTATTTGCTATGAAGAATAGTCATCTTTCAAATAAAAATTTTAAAACTATATAATTTTACATAGAACATTCTTTCTGAAGCATTTGATTCTAAAAGATCAAAATGATGTTCATTGTTTATAATAAATGAGAAATCATGTGCAAAACTTCAAATATTCACTTCTACACCTTTTTGTTGCTGCATGACTCAAGAAATGATAAAGCAAGCAGAATTCTCATTTGCAGGGAAAAACAAAAGGACATACTTTAGGCATAAATATTTGTTTAATACACCCACACCAATAAGTTTCCTCATTTGCATTTTTTCATTGAACATTTATTTTCTACTTTTATTATAAGAGTGATGTACACATAAGTATTATTTTCCCCTTACAGATGGAAAAAATTATTTCTAGAATAATTTGAATTGGTCAGCAACATCAACAGCTCTTTAATTAAAGTTATAAAATTCTAATCACTGTTTCTACTCTACAATAGGACATTCTAAGAATAAAAGGCATAGAACAGGGTGAGATTATCACAAGTTAAGTAATTTTACCCAAATCATAAAGACAAGCTTTGGCAAAATTAATGATTAATCTTGGATTAAAAGTTTGTGAAATGTGTACTCATTGCTCTAAATCTAACATTTTTGGGGGATGGGTAGTATGTGGCAGTGCTTGGAGGCTACTCTTAGTGGTGCTCAAGAGATCATTCAGTGCTAGGGATCAACCCTGTGTCTCCTGCATGTGCTCTATCCCGCTGAGATATCTCATCAGACCCAATATACCCGCCTCGCAGTTTCATATTTTTTTGGAAGTGGATCATTTATGTTTTATATCTTTCTAACCACAATTAGTTTATGAACATGCTATTATATCATATATTATTATATTCATTATTATTCTTATTAATTTTTATTTTTTTATTAGTGAAACACCATGAGGTACAGTTATAGACTTACAAATTTTTGTGCTTGCGTTTCAGTGATACAATGATCAAGTACCCATCCCTCCACAGTGCCCATCATCCTCCAACACCACGGGTCCCAGCATCAGTCCCACCCTCCATCCCCCCCATCCCCTCCTGCCTCTGTGGCAGGGCATTCCCCCTTGTTCTCTCTCTATCTCATTTTGGGTCCTGTGGTTTGCAAGAGAGGCATTGAGTGGCAATCATGTTTGGTCTATAGTCTACTTTCAGCATGCTTCTCCCATCCTGGGAGCATCATCCCAACACCCTTTATTTGGTGCTCCCTTCTCTATCTGAGCTTCCCCTTCCAGTAGCACGAGTGGCTGGCCTCCAAGTCATGGAGCAAAATTCCTGATACTAATTTCAGCCACTCCTGGGTGTTAGTCTCTCATTTTGTTACTTTATGTTCCCCAGATGAATGCATCTTTCTATGTCTATCCCGCTCTTTCTGATTCATTTTGCTTAACATGATACTTTCCATGTAGTACCACTTGTATGTGAATTTCATGACTTCATCTTTTCTAACAGCTACATAGTACTCCATTGTGTAAATGTACCAAAGTTTCTTTAATCAGTCATCTGTTCTTGTGCACTCAGGTTTCTTCCAGTTTCTGGCTATTGTAAAGAGTGCTGCAATGAACAAACAAGTGCAGATGTCACTTCGACTGTACTTTTTTTGCCTCTCTGGGATATATTCCCAGGAGTGGTATTGCTGGGTCAGATGGGAGCTCAATTACTAATTTTTTGAGAATCATCCGTACTGTTTTCCAAAAGGGTTGAACCAGCCAGCATTCCCACCAGCAATGAAGGAGGGTCTCTTTCTTGCCACATCTGCGCCAACACCGGTTGCTTTTGTTCTTTTGGATGTGGGCCAGTCTCTGTGGTATGAAATAATATCTCATTGTTGTTTTGATCTGCGTCTCCCTGATGATTAATGATGTAGAGCATTTTCTCATGTGCCTTTTAGCCATTCGGATTTCTTCTTTGCAAAAGTTTCTGTTCATTTCCTTGCCCCATTTTTTGATGGGGTTGGGTCTTTTCTACTTGTGGAGTTCAACCAGTACCTTGTATATCCTTGATATCAACCCCTTGTCGGATGTGTATTCGGCGATACATTCAATATTATTAATATAAAAATAAACATGCCAACCAAATTCCACAAAAATAACCCACCAAACAAAATTTTTTTAAAAAGCGATAATGTGTTGTAATTTCATACTTTTCAAAAATAGAATATTTGGCAATAGATTTCACCCCCACATTGAGGTTAATAAGCTTTATAAATGGCAGGAAAGGAAATACAGTAGGCACTTTCACATGGTGACCTGAATTCCATCCCTGGCATTCCATATGGTCCCTAAAACTCCCTGAAACTCCACCCTGAAACTACCTGAAACTCTACCAGGAAAGATTCCTGAGCACAGAGCTATGAGTAAGTCCTCTGTACCGCTGATGTGACCAAAGCTCCCCCTCCAAACTTATAATTTCAAGAATTACAAATAATCTTTTATTTATTATTATATAATAAATATATAATATGTTTTATATATGATAATATTGTAATTATATAATATGTAATGATTATTATATATTTATTTTTATATAATTGTCACTGTCCTCCCATTGTTCATCGATTTGCTCGAGTGGGCCAAATAATGTCTCATTTTGAGACTTGTTACTGTGTTTGGAATATTAATATGTCACGGGTAGCTTGCAGGGCTTTGATTTTAACCAAGCTCCCGGAAGAGAACAACGCAGGGTCTCCTGCCCCCACGCCTGGCTGTCCTCACTGGGGCCCCTTGGAGGGAGGTGGGTTGAGTTTCCCTCCCCGCCTGAGCAGAGCTGAAAACCTCTGGAACCCAGTCACAGCCATGCTAAGACCATTCTCCACACGCTCAGATGGGCCTCACGCATGAAGGAACAGGCAGAGGAACCCAGGTGTGCGGGACCCGGGGCTGAGATCTCCAAGTCTGCTTGGATCGGGACTGGGCCTCCACCACCCAGATCCCCTATCTTCCAGTAGCTAGACAGTTACACCCACCAACTGCCCTGTAATCCCACCAATGGCCAAGATCCAGAGATAAACCCAAACTGCCAGAAGCACTTCTTATTATCTAGTTCTTGCTCTCAGAGAACCTGGCAGGCTACCGAAAGTATCCTGCCTGCATATATGCCTGACTGGGAACACCTGTAAAGGCAATTAGAGGCTGCTCAATAGCCTTCATGTCTCTCGGAGAGCCTGGCAAGCTACTGAGAGTAACCCACCCACATGGTAGAGCCTGGCAAGCTACCCGTGGTGTACTCGATATGCCAAAAACAGTAACAATGATGATTCTCATTTCCCTGACCCTGAAAGAGCCTGAAATATGCCATCCGGCTACACTAGCACGTGAGGGGGACGAATGGAGACATTACTGGCACCCGCTCGAACAAATTGATAAACAATGGGATGACAGTGATAATAAAATATATAATAGATATTATAATAAATAATCTTTTCTTTATTATCACTGGAGCGATAGCACAGCAGGTAGGGCATTTGCCTTGCGCATGGCCGACCAGGGTTCGATTCCTCTGACCCTCTTGGAGAGCCCAGCAAACTACTAAGAGTATCCCACTCGCATGGCAGAGCCTGGCAAGCTCCCTGTGGCATATTCGATGTGCCAAAAAGCAGTAACAAGTCTCACAATTGAGACGTTACTGGTGCCTGCTCGAGCAAATCAATGAACAATGGGAGGACAGTGCTACAGTGCTACAGTGTTATAAATAATCTTCAACTATTCCTTTTAATCCCTAAAGAATATGGTTTATTAGGTGTTCACACAAATGATCATTTTTCAAAAATATCTTCCTTCCTGCTCATTTCTTTCCCTTTCAATTGCCTGTAGTTTTTCCTTCCTTTATAGTATGGTTCAAATTTTAACTATGGACAGATTTTCCCCCTCTAGTCAACCTACAAGATCTTTAAACTTTGAAAATTTTGGAGGCTGAAGAAATAGCACAGCAGGTAAGACACAGCAAGTATACCCCTGAGTCCCACCAGGCATGGTTCCTGAGCACTGCCCCCAAACCAACAAAAACAAACCCCAAGCAAAACTCTGAAGGGTTTCATATCATTCACCTGATGTTTCTCATTTGCTACTTTTGGTTGAATATTTTAAAACACTGACTTCTCAATGAAATTCTATCCCTATTATAGCAAGACCATGTTTATTACCTCTTGAGAGACAGATTAAAGTTTGTTTTCTACATTATAACTTCTGTAAAAGTAAGAAATAAAGAGATGCAGAGATTTACCTGGAATATTTGCAGAATATTGTGTTTCTCCATGTAGCGTACTGAAACTTCATAAGGATCTTCGTATAGTAAAGAAGGGAACCGCCGTCGAAAAAAACTCATTTCATCATTTAAATGTTCATCCTGAAATTAAATTATTTACCCCAAGAGTTCTTAATAAATAAAAAATCCTGGGAACATTTTGTTGCTATTGTTGCTTTTAACAGTCAGATTTGGAGGAATCAGTTGGGATGGGAGATGTGTGCCGAAAGTAGATAATGGACCAAACATGATGACCTCTCAGTGTCTGTATTGCAAACTATAATGCCCAAAAGTAGAGAGAATGGGGAATATTGTCTGCCATGGAGGAAGGGGGAGGGTGGGGAAGGGGGTATACTGAGGGGGGGGGATTGGTGGTGAGGAATGTGTACTGGTGGAGAGATGGGTGTTTGATCATTGTGTAATTGTAACCCCAACATGAAAGCTTGTAACTTTCTCATGGTGATTCAATAAAAATTTTTTAAAAAAGTCAGATCTGGTGTTAATGAGATATTAATATTAGGAGTTGATGAGAAAACTTCTATGTGAGAGACCTTGCTAATCTTCCAGGTAAAAGAACATTACACCTCCAGTCTTGAGAGGTAGTCTAGAAATGTCCAATCTACTTCAAATACTTTTCCCTTCACAGGGCTTTGTACTCCTTATCTCTTTACTTTGGCAGAAGGCTGGAGAGGGGAAAAGGAAATGCCAAAAAGCAGTAGAATCAGAAATTGAAACCAAGGTATCCTGGAAGGTTTATGGATCCTTTTCAAATGACCTTAGAAGGGTACAGAAGGATATACATTAAATTTTTTTCTCAAAAAATATTTTTTCCTCATCCTTCTGCTCTTCCAGAATCGGGAAGTATGTATGGAGCATATATAATTGTAATACATGGGTTTATTCCTTATCTATGATCCAATATGTACCCTCCCTCTCCTCCTCCATTCCGCCACCATCACCTCCCAGGAGAATATCAAAATGCCCACTTAACCTACAGAGTAGGATACATTTAGAGATTTCTCTTTACTGCGTATATAGTCCAACGTGCTTGAGGTAGAAGGGAGTGTTTGGTTAAGGGATTCATCTTTAACTTGTAAAATACTGGTGTTTTGGGGATCGTATAATGTGAATGATTGCAGATTGGGTAGACTTTCAGTATCAGATTCACTTGAAACTGAAGTTTGGGAAATTTTCTCTTTTATTTGACTAAGGTCAAATTTGCAGGATGTCTGAAAAGAATCTTCTTGTGCCTCTTCGTCTCCAAGAATGGCAAATGAGCTGTTTAGTAAGCTATAAAGTCTTTTATATTCAGAATCGAGTTCTTCTGGGTAGTTTTCTCTTTTTGGAATCATGGATTCAGTGTCCTGTTCACTGAAGTCAGGATGATCTACTTGGTCAGCAGCTAGTTCACTCTCTTCATTCGTTTTGTGTAGAGTATTTGCTAATGTTTCTCCGCCAGTTTGGTCAAGCAATCCAGAGTCAATTTCTTGTTGAGGTTTTGGTTGAACGAGGCTCGACAATCTTCTTATCTGCTCAGCAGTCCTTTGGTCAACCATACTACTTTTTTTCCGTTTACTAACTTCATTAGACAGTTGGGAAGGCAAAGGAGAGTAGCTCTGTTTAGAAGCTCTCCTTTCCTCCGTTTCCAATGATCTGCGTTGAACAGTTTTTTCTTCAAGCTGAGCAGACATCTGGCGGCTAGACTCTCCGGGCTCTACACCATGAACTTGCCTGGTAGATGTCCCACTGCTCATCTGCACAGAGTTTCTCTGATCAGTCTTTTGGGATGACTGACTATCACGACTAACATCTCTGGTGTGTTCTGACTGGCTAAATCGTCTCTGGGGAGACTGGTCAGCTGCTGTGTCTTCAGTCTCATCATCTGCCATCTCCTCATCCCCTTCGGCTTTCTTGTCATTCTGGCTGTCTTCATATCCCAAGGATCCCTCCAGGTTCTCTTCCATTCTCTGCCTGGTCCCTGGCTGATCTAGGTTTCCAGGCCCTGTGGGTGGGGCCTGGGCCTGTAGTCTAGGCAACCGGAAGAGAGCGTTCCACCCAGAGTGCAAGCGTTGTTGGGCCTGGGCGTTACTTGGGCTCTTCCATGCAGTGCGGATTGGTGGGGGCAAGCGCTGTCATCAACTCCGAATGTGGCCTGGAGTTATGTATCACCGGAAGTGACGTGGATACCTTTCTCCCAAAATCTGAGGTCATTCCTAATTGGAATCACCCCTAAAATATGGCCAATATAATTGTAAATTGGGGGATATTAAGGACATGGGAAATAGGCACTGGGATAACAGTAGAGGATCTTGACATTCTGGTATGGTGTAGCAGCACTGCGAGTATAAAGCAAGAACATCAATACTATTTTCATTAATTAATTAATTTTGTTTTGTAGCCATGCTCAGCAATGCCAAGGGGAACTCTTGGTTATGAACTCAAGAATTACTCTTGGAAGTGCTTTTGGGAACATATAAGATATTGGGAATTTAACCAGGGTTGGCTATGTGCCAGGCAAATGCCCTACCCATTGTATTGTCACTCTAGCCCCTCAATACTAAACTACGACACCTAAATTAGTACTCATTTAGATAACGTTTTTAAAAAATAAATGGGCTTAAGATTTCTTAGGGTTTATATTTAGGATTCATAATATGCTTCCAAATAGCTGGAGCACTGACTTCAAAGACGGGTTTTGGTTATAGGATGAAAGAATCAGCTTTCAAGTTGTATAAAGAAAGAAAGGGTGTATAAAAGTGACCACAGAAAACTGAGATTTACAAGAGCAGAAAAACAGAGCTAAACATGGAGTTGAGAAATTTTTCTTAGACCTTGACTTTGTAGGGTAAAGGACATATTGTGGTTTTAGTGCTAGGTAGCTTTTGCAGCCAGAGTTTTCTGTGAGGAGACTTTTCCCAGCCTAGAATCTGATGGAAAACTCATTTCTAGAGGCCAGAGAATTTGTAGGATGATTGTTTTGGTTTGAGTGGTAATGTGAACTTTTATGAAAAAAGAAAAAAAAGAAAAAATATCTGTAAAATTAAAAAGCATGTATTAACCTGTACCAGCTCAAAAGCTACATTTTACGATTCTCTAATGTCAGTATTTGGCAGGTTGTCAAAAACTAATAGACGAAAGTTCTGTCCTTTGAATGCTGTAGTGAGTGAAGAAGCCACAGAAATAGCTGAGGGCATCACCTTATTCCCTGGCCATAGTTTTCGGGAGGACATCTCCAAATCTTCCACCGAGGTCTTTGGAAGTATCCAAACTGTAAGGGCATTCCTGGAGATGTGTCGGGTGAGGGGGGCCCAGTTTTGGCTGGGTTTCTGCTAGGTGAATTCTTCCAAGCTCTCTTTGGATAAATTTCTGGTCTTTGGGGCTTGAGAACCAGTGGAATACTTGGAGAGCCTGCATGGTATAGAGGAGGCCTGGATTTGATCACTGACACCACATGTACTTTAGCAACAAATCTACTGTGACTCAAACTTCTTAAAATAACATGAGGAAAACGTTTAAAATTTGATGTATATTTTCTCAGTGTAGATCATGATCACGATCATAATCATTCTGCTGTTTGTCAATTGTCTCAAGCAGGCCCTTATTCGTCCTAGCCCTGAGATTTTAAAAAATGCCATATTCAAGGCTCTTTCAGGATTAGGAGAATGAGACCCATCATTGTTACTGGTATTTGGCATATTGGGTACGCCACGGGGAGTTTGCCAGCCTCTGCCATGTGGGCAGGTAATATTTAGTAACCTGCCAGGTTGTCCAAAGTAAGAATGAGATAATAAGATGTCGCGCAGCCGCAAATGCGGCAGCGCGCTTCCAGGAGCTGGGTTTTATAGTCTGTAGGTCTGGGCCGTTGATGGATTACATGGCGCTGGGGGACAGATGGTGGGTGTGACCCCTGCCTACTGGAAGATGGAAGATCTGAGTGGAGGATGCTCAGCCCTGATCCGAGCAGGCTTGGAGATCTCAGCCCCGGGACCCGTATGCCTTTGTTCCTCTGCTGGTACCTTCATGCGCGTGGAGAGTGGTCTCAGCATGGTGGTGGCTGGTTCTGGAGGTCTTCGGCTGTCGGAGCTCTGTTCAGGGCGGGGTGGGAAACTCAATCTGCTCCCCTCCAAGGGGCCCCGGTGAGGACAGTCAGGCACGGGGGCAGGAGACTCTGCGCTGTTCTCTTCCGGGAGCTGGGTTTTATAGTCTCTGGGTCTTGGCTGTTGATAGGATTACACGGCACTGGGGGTCAGATGGTAGGTGTGACCCCTGCCTACTGGAAGATGGAAGATCTGGGTGGAGGATGCTCAGCCCCGATCCAAGCAGGCTTGGAGATCTCAGCCCCGGGACCCGCATGCCTTTGTTCCTCTGCCGGTACCTTCATGCGCTCAGTGTAGATTAGATAATTTATTTCAAAATGAAAAAAGAAAAGGTTTTCCAAGTACTCTGGTTTGTAACTTTTATTGATGTTTTGATGCATATCCTTCAAGAAAAATTTTCTTTGCAAATTATCAACATCTAATGTCTTACATCTAATGTGAATATGTTGTCTTTTTGGGTTTTTTTGTTTGTTTGTTTTTGGAGTGCCATACCTGGTAGTGCTCAGTACTAAGTCCTGGCTCTGTGCTCAGTAAGCATTCCTGTCAGTGCTCAGGGGACCAGCTGTGGTCCTGAGGATCAAATCTGGGTCAGCTTATGCAAGGCAGGAGCCTTAGTATCTCTACAGCTCAAAATAATTGTGTATTTTATAAAATGAAGCCGACCGTGCAGCCCTTCTTTATATTTAACTACATTTTTATTTAACTCCATTGTATAAATGTCCTACCCTGTCAATAAATATAATCTAAACCACACTTTCATAGTCAAACCAAGTTTATTCTATTTCTGCAATTTATTAGATAGATGGTTGAGCTTGAACAAATCCCTTTATTTCTCTAAATCGTAATTTTCTCATCTTCAGATGAAAATGGAATAATATAATAGCTTTCAGAGTTCTTTTGACAGCTAAATGAGATAATATGTAATTTAGTTCATGTGCTTCATAGAGTGGCTATTTTAAAATTTACATGCAATCTATTATATGAATTAATTTTGTTGCTTTTAACAATTCTGCATTGACAATCTCTTTACAAACAGTTTGCAAGCTTGACTTATTTTCTTAAAATGACATTTTTATCATGTTTTTTTTTGATTAAGAAAATGTCCTCATTTTTCTCTTTTGAAAGTACTGCATTTAAAATGTCTTCTGAGCCAAACTAGTCCTACTATTAATATACGATAGTGTTATTTCTCTATACTAATATGAAGTTTCTCCGTGTATTTTTCTTTTTTACCTAGCTTACCAGTGAAAATAAGTGTCTTATTTTAATATTTTGTTTAATGGTTACATTTTGCTTTTCTAAAAATATTTTTATTTATAATAGTTCAGGTAATTATTATAGTGTTAAAGTTTATGGTGTCAGTACTCAAAATTACTACATTCTCTAACCACCTATGTGCCCATTGTCCACTACTCTGTCCTTCTGGCTCTCCTTGCTCTATCTTCTCTCTCCACCCCCAACTTTTTAGTATTTGTCTTTTAATTCCAATGCCCAGGTTTTGTCATTATCTGGTACTGTCTATTTTCTTGTTTTGACTTTCTGTACTCCACAGAAGAATGAAATAATCTGCTATTTGTCTTTCTGCCTCTGCCTTATTTTGCTTAAAACAATGCCTCCAGTTTTGCTTGACAAGTTGTAGTAAGCTACGTGATTTCACCTTTTTCTTTTGATCTCTTCTTTTTTTGTTTAAGTTTTTGCTTGTCTGTTTGGCCACATCTGGCAGTGGTTTATAATCCTGGCAGGTCTTGGGGGAGATTGAAATTTGAGATTGAAACTGAGTTGGCTGCTTGCAAGCTAAGTACCTTACTGTACTATTATTCTGACCCCAATTTTTAATTAATTTTTTTAATTGAGCCACGATAAGATACTCATCTACAAAGTTGTTCATGATTGGGTTTCAGTCATACAATGTTCCAACACCAGTCCCTTCACCATTCACCAGCATACATTTCCCACCACCCATGACCCCAGTTTCCTTTCTGCCATCCTCCATCCCCCCCCCAAGCCTGCCTCTATGTCAGGCTCTCTCTCTCTTTCTCCCTCTTTCTCCCTCCCTCTCTCTCTCTCTCTCTCTCCTCTCTCTCCTCTTTCCTTTGGGGCATTATTCGTCGATTGCCTCAAGCAGGCCCCAGTAACGTCTCCTTCATCCTAGCCCTGAGATTATATTCAAGGCTCTTTAGGAGAATGAGACCCATCATTATAGTTTGCAATAAGGTTTCTGAGAGGTTATCCTATTTGTCCCTTTACTTACTTTCTCTTATCTTAAGGCATCAAGTCTACCTCCAAATATGGTCCAACACTGGGGTTTAGAACTTCAGCAAGGGAAGGTAATTTAGCAAACAGTCATAGACAAGTGTTTATTTCTAAACTCTAGGTTCTGTTCCACTCATCTATATCTCTATATTTTTTTTTCTGTTGTTTTGGGGACCACAGCTGGCAGTGCTCAGGGATTACTCCCTTGCTCTGCACTCAGGGATTACTTCTAGTGGTGCTCTGGGGATCATATGGGATGTTGAGGATTGATCCTGGGTTGGCCGCATGCAAGGCAAGTGTCCTACCTGCTGTACTATTGCTCAGGCCTCTATATCTTTTTTCTTAAAACAAAACAAAACAATCCTTATGCCAGCTTTAATTCGTATTACCTTATTATAAGTCTTAAAATTGAGATGTGGCTTTTACAACTTCAGAAAAGTTTGAATATTTAAGGATCCTTGAAATCACATGAATTTTTCTTTTCTACAAAATGGTTGTTAGAATTTTTGACAGGGAATATATTGAATCTATAGATCACTTTAAGTAGTAATCCCATTTTAGGAATTTTGTCTTTCAATTCATGACTATGAGTTATTTCCCCACTTCTTTATTTC